AATACTTTTGGCCTCCTTCTCAAACCAGCTGGGTCAGTCACTCAGATATGGTACGGCAGGGCAGGTCTAGCTGAAGAGGAGTTACTGAGACAGGTTGTTTGTGGCACTTACTACAACCACCAGGGCGGGTCGGTAATCAGTGCAGGGCAGTAGGCCATGCCTGTGCTGCTTGGTGGTGTGATGTTAAGTGCACGGTGCAGGTAGGCAGGATGTAGCAGGGACATTGTTATGTGTGGAGTTAAGATGGATATGGGAGAGAGGAGAAAGGAACAGGAGCTAAAAACATACAAACAAACAAACAAGAATGTTAGGGGAGCTTGCCGTTGGAGTGGAGAGATGAGAGACTATGAAATGGAGAGAAACTGAAAGGGGAAGAGGAAGAAAAGAAAAGGATGTATAAATAAAAATCAGAAAGGTTAAAGAACTGCAAAGTTCTCAGGGTTCCCACCATTGCAGCTATGAGGTCTGGGGAAGTCACTCTCAGGTGTTGCAGTACAGCCTGGCTAGAAGGTGTAGAGGTATACAACACCAGGTATTCAGGGAACAGAAAGAGGAGGAAGATAAAAATAAATGAGAAACTGAGTAATGAAGAAAGACAAAAAGGGGAAAAGAGGGAGAAGAAAACAAAATAAATTTAAAAAAAAAAAGAACAAGGAAATCCCCCAGAAAAACAGGGGAAAAAAAAAAAACAATAAAAAAAGAAATGTCCTTAGGGATCCCTCTGCACGTCTGTGCAAGCCGAGGGGGTCGTCTCCTTGCCACGCATCACCGCCTGGCCAGAAAGGGCTCCCAACTCAAGAAAAGGAAAAGAAGACAAACAAACGAACTAAAGCCCTGGGATCCCACCCGCACGGCAGCCCCGACTGGGAAGTGGCTCCCCACTTGAATGGAGCCCCACAGCCCCTCAGGTAGAAGCAAAGATGGCACAAGGAGCCAGGTATTTGAGCAAAAGGAGGGGGAGGTGGTTAGAGGTAAGGAAGAAATCAAAAGAAGCAGAAAAAAAAGCAGCACCAGCAGCCAACAAATGGCACTCAGAGAGCCAGCTAGTGCGAGCTGGTGGAATCCAAGCAGCCAGTGTTTCTCGGACAAGAGACTGTGTCCGCGGGAAGCAGATGGGGCAGAGTGTGGGTGAAGAGGGGTAGAGAGTGGGAAAGTGTATATCACAAATTACCGGAGCTCTGCAGCCCCTCAGGAAGAAGCAAAGATGGCACACGGAGCCAGGTATTTGAGCGAAAGGAGGGGAAGGTGGTGAGAGGTAAGGAGGAAATCAAAAGAAGCAGAAAAAAGCAACATCAGTAGCCAACAAATGGCACTCAGAGAGACGGCCGGTTCGGGTGTGTGGAATCCAGGCAGCCGGTGTTTCCCGGACAAGAGATTGTGGATGCAGGAAGCAGAGGAGGCCGAGTGGGGGTGAAGAAGGGTGAGGGATGGGAAAGTGTATATTGCAAATTACCAGTTGTTTTGTCTCCCGCTGGAAGCTCCGTGAAGCTGCTTTCTCGTACCCCCTGTTTGCTGGTCTCCGATAGGAGTCCAAGATGGCAGATCCACACTGCGTTAGCTGGTAGGGGACCTCTGCATGAATCTCTCCTCACTCTCCATTCTCTGTCAGTTTTCTCACTCCATTTGGTGCTTGGCTGAGTTCTTTAACTCTTCATTTGATGTTTTAGGGTTTCAGGATTGTTGTATTCTCTGTTCGGATTAGTTTTTCGGATCTTTACTGTAGAGGGACGACGTGGTGCTTCTGCCTAGAGCGCCATTTTGCCGGAAGTGTCTTTCCTGTCTTTTTAATGACCACTTGCTTTCTTCATGTATGATGACCTTAATATCATTCCACTACTCATCTGGTCTTTGGTCATTAGTGTTCAATGCATCAAATCTATTCTTGAGATGGTCTCTAAGTTCAGGTGGGATAGACTGAAGGTTGTACTTTGGCTCTTGTGGAGTTGTTCTAATTTTCTTGTTTTAACTTGAACTTGCATATGAGCAATTGATGGTCTGTTCTCCATTCAGCTCTTGGCTTTGTTCTGACTGATCATACTGAGCCTTTCCATTGTCTCTTTCCACAGAAGTAGTTGATTTGATTCCTGTGTATTCCATCTGGTGAGGTCCATGTGTACAGTTGCCATTTATGTTGGTGAAAAAAGGTATTTGCAATGAAGAAGTCATTGGTCTTGTAAAATTCTATCATGTGATCTCCGGCATCATTTCTATCACCAAGGCCATATTTTCAAACTACTGATCCTTCTTCTGTTTCCAACTTTTGCATTGCAATCACCAGTAACTATCAATGCATCCTGATTGCACGTTTGATCAATTTCCGACTGAAGAAGTGAGTAAAAATCTTCAATTTCTTCAGCTTTGGCCTTAGTGGTTGGTGCGTAAATTTGAATAACAGTCGTACTAAGTGGTCTTCCTTGTACGCGTATGGACATTATCCTATCACTGACAGGGTTGTACTTCAGGATAGATCTTGAAATATTCTTTTTGACAATGAATGCAGTGCCATTCTTCTTGAAGTTGTCATTCCAGGCATAGTAAACCATATGGCTGTCCGATTCAAAATGGCCAATACAAATCCATTTCAGTTCAGCAATGCCTAGGATATTGCTGTTTATACGTTGCATTTCATTTTGGATGATTTTTAATTTTCCTAGATTCATACTTCATACATTCCGTATTCTGATTACTAATGGATGTTTGCAGCTGTTTCTTCTCATTTTGAGTCGTGCCACATCAGCAAATGAAGGTCCCAAAAGCTTGACTCCATCCATGTCATTAAGGTCGACTCTACTTTGAGGAGGCAGCTCTTCCCCAGTTGTCTTTTGAGTGTCTTCCAGCTTGGGAGGTTCATCTTCCGGCACTATGTCAGACAATGCTCTGCTGCTATTCATTAGGTTTTCACCGGCTAATTCTTTTTAGAAGCAGACTGCTGGGTCCTTTTTCCTGGTTTGTCTTCGTCTGGAAGCTCAGCTAAAACCTGTCTACCTTGGGTAACCCTGCTGGTATCTGGGTACCAGCGGCATAGCTTCCAGCATCACTGCAACACACAAGCCCTCACAGTACAGCAAACTGACAGACATGTGGGGGTACGCATACAAAGCACTCAATAAATGGTAGTTTCAGTTGTGACTGATGCTGTTATGACAACTTAGACTCTGCCCTGACTAGAATAAGAGCCCCAGGAGGGCAGAAATCTCTTTAAGTATGGGGAAAAGACAGTCTTTTTACCAAATGGTGCTGGTAAAACTGAATGTCCATCTGTAAAAAATATGAAACAGGACTCATACCTCACACCATAGACAAAACTAACTCAAAATGTATCAAAGACCTGAATATAAAAACTAAAAGGATAAAGATCATGAAAAAAAAAAGGACAACGCTAGAGGCCTGAATACATGGCATAAATACAATACAAACTATAACTAACAATGCACAAACACCAGAAGATAAACTAGATAACTGAAAGCTCCTAAAAATTAAACACTTACACTCATCAAAAGACTTCACCAAAAGACTGGGAAAACATTTTCAGCTATGACACATCCAACAAGGGTCTAATTTCTAAAATTTATAGAATACTTCAACACCTCAACAACAAAAAGAAATAATCCAATTAAAAAATGGCAAAGCATATGAACAGACACTTCACCAAAGAAGACATTCAGATGTCTAACAGACACATGAGGAATTGCTTGTGCTCATTAGCCAGTAACCCATTGACCAAAACTGTTGCTGTCAAGTCAATTCCAACTCATAGCGACTCTGTAGCAAAACTACAGCTAGATACCATCTCACCCCGACGTTACTGGCATTAATCAAAAAAACAGAAAATAACAAGTGTTGGAGAGGTTATGGGGAGATTGGAACTCTTATGCACTGCTGGTGAGAGTGTAAAATGGTATAATCACTATGGAAAATGATATGATGCCTCCTTAAAAAGCTAGAAATAAAAATACTATTTGATCCAGCAATCCCACTGCTAGGAATATATTCTAGAGAAAAAAGAGCCGTTACACAAATAGACATATGCACACTCATGTTCACTGCAGCATTATTCACAATAGCAAAAAGGTATAAACAACCTAAGTGCCCATCGGCAGATGAATGGATAAACAAATTATGGTACATACACACAACAGAATACTACACAATGATAAAGAACAATGATGAAACACAAAACGTCTCACAACACGGATGAATTTGAAGGGCATTATGCTGAGTGAAATAAGTCGATCACAGAAGGACAGATATTGCTTAAGACCAATGTTATAAAAACCCATGAAAAGGTTTACACACAGAAAAAACAATCTTTGATGGTTACGAGGGAGGGGAGGGGTGGGGAAGGGAAATTACTAACTAGATAGCAGACAAGTGGTAACTTTGGCGAAGGGAAAGACAATACACAATATAAAGGAAGTCAGCACAACTTGACCAAGGCAAAGTCATAGAAGCTTCCTAGACACATCCAAACACGCTGAGGGACTGCGTTACTGGGGTTGAGGGCTGGGGACATTGTCTTGGGACATTGAGGTCAATCGGCATAACATAGTTAATAAAGAAAGTGTTCTACAGTCTACTTTGATGAGTAGCATCTTAGGTCTTATAAGCTTGTGAGCAGCCATCTAAGATACATCTATTGGTCCCATCACGTCCAGAGCAAAGGAGAATGAAGAAAACCAAAGACACAAGGAAAATACTAGTCCAAACGACTAATGAACCACAGCCTCCACCAGCCTAAGCCCAGAAAAACTAGATGATGCCCAGCTACCACTACCAACTGCTCTGACAAGGATCTCAGTAGAGGGGCCTGGACAGAGTAGGAGAAAAATGTAGAACAAAATTCAAATTCACCAAAAGACCAGACTTACTGGTCTGACAGAGACTGGAGGAATCCCTGAGACTACAGCCTCCGGACACCCTGCTAATTCAGAACTGAAGCCACTGCTGAAGTCTACCTTTCAGCCAAAGATTAGACAGGACTATAACACCAATAATAACACCTGGGAGGAATGTACTTTAGTTCAATCAAGTATATGATACCACATGGGCAGCCCCTGCCTAAAAGCAAAGACGAGAAGACAGGAAGGCAAAGGCAAAGTGGACAAATGGACACAGGTAACATGGGGTGGAAAAGGGAAAGGAGGAGAGTGCTGACACAATGTGGGATTGCAATCAATGTCACAAAACAATTTGTGTATAAATTTTTGAACGAAAACCTAGTTTGCACTATAAACTTTCAGCTAAACCATAATAAAATTTAAAAAAATCGTAAAATAGAATAAAAATAATAAAATAAAAGCTATCATTCAGTAAATAAAAGAGTTTGGAAACTGCTTCAATAAAATTAAAAAAAAGAAATCCCATTATGTTTTATATGGTAGGCACTCAATAAACACTTGATGAGTGAATGGATAGATGGAAGGATGGATGTATAGATAACGGATAAGAAGAAAGTGAGAAATGGAAAACAGTAGAATAAAACAGAACTAACATCTAACCAAAAGTATATGAAAATTGGTGTGAGAATGAGCAACTTCATTAAGATATTTGCATATAGGTTTTACATTTAGATGAAATATGGTTTCTTTGTACAACTTTTCCTTTGATTTGTTTTTATACAGTTGGATGTAGAATCCAGACACCACTGGTTTTAGAGAAACTTGGATTATCTTCCTCATGACATGACATCTAAGAAAGAAATAAATGTCAGGAAAATAAGAAAAGAAAGAAAATTGTGACCAGTATATTCAATAGCCATCCGGGAAAGAATGGGTCCACTTAGAGAAACAGAAGTATGGCTAGCAATATTATTTACTGGGTAGCCACACAATCAGGATGTATGGTTAAGACGAGGAGAGGTGCGTGGAAGACTAGATGCCAAAATCTTATTTTTGAGTTCCAAAAAGATAAAATGTGGGGACTTGAAAACGTATATAGCTTCCTATACATGCATGTAAAGGGATCAGAAGGGAGGGCTGACTTGAATACAGTAGACCACCATGAATCCCAGAAAAGGACAAGCTCTGATTATTAGAGAAGAAAACAAGGCCTGAGATGATGCTTCTACTCTCCTCCAGTAGTGTTAATTAAAACATTTTTCACCTACTATTGGCATTGTAATCATCGTGGTCCTTATTAAGATATAGCTTTTTGGTACCTAGTCAAGTTACACTGAATTCAAATACCTAGTATTTGATTCAGGGTCTCTACATTTTTAACCTGATCCCTATATGAGTCTAAATTTTGCAAACTGTAGTTATGAGATTGTTAACTTTTTAATGTGGAAGGATTTACGATTATACTATGAAACGTATATTACTATTAGATCTCTGTGCCAATGTAAACTGAGAAATACCTCATATTTTATTGACTTGCAGTGTTATTTTAGTTCTTCTAAGTTAATTCCTTTTATTGTTGAAAATCTCTGAATTTAAAGAATTCATTCATGTGTTGCAACTCAGACGTATCCCACCCATAGGATTCCAACATCTGGTGATGATCTTGATAACCAAACACTTTATGGAATTCATCAGGCAGTTAGGTAAATAATACATGGTTTCCAGATACACTGATGGGATTTTCAGCCTTACATGGACAGATATCGCAAGGCAAAGGGGACACTTGGTGATCCGGGCCCACTTACCTCCAGTTTTGTTATAGAGCTCACGACAGAGTTTTTCAGCCATGAGCTGCAGAGTTTCTGCAAGCTTCCTGTTCTGGGCTTGAAGAGATTGCAACTGTTGGGAGAGATTCCCCAATCTTTCTTCCTTTTGAGAGATGCTGTCTTGCTGAGTAATGGAGAGCCGGTAGAGCTGAAAAACTAACCCAAGTCACCAAGTCAGACTGGACAGCTTATATCTTGAAAATCTATCTTTTTCTATATATGGAGAAGACAAACGGTATATTGCTTAAGATCTCAGGCTCTGAGGTCTCAGATCGCCTATATTCAAAGCTGTGCTCTAGTACATGATAAATTGTATGACTTGTAGCAAATTAATTTTCCTAAGTCTGTTTTGTCACCTGAAAATGTGGAGTCATAATAGCAGTTTACAGTTAACTTTAGGAATAAATTTCTAGACCTTATTTACTGCTCAAGAAATACTTTTGTGGACACTCTCACACTAGTAGTAATGAAGCTGAAACCACATATTTATATATCCAATGATCATTATATTGAGCATTAAAAATATAATAGTACTTATAATAGTTATATCATCATTTCTGTAATTTTATGGATTTGCAGTAAGTTCAATGAGAACAAGTAACTTTCCTAATAACACTTGTCTAGAAACCATTCTGCATGATACCATAATGGTGGACACATGACTTTATTCATGTGTCAAAACCCATAGGACTGTACACCACAGAGGACTTTCGCTAATAATAATGTAGCGATATCAGTTCATCGGTTGTAACAAATGTACCACTAATGCAAGATGGTAATGATAGGAGGAAGAGCGGAGACAGGAGAGAAGGTAGATGGGAACTATGGACTTTCTATGCAATTATTCGGCAAACCTGGAACTGCTCTTTTAAAGATGCATATTTTTAAAAAAGAAAAAAAGGGAACTGCTCTCTGTGGGACCTTTTTTCTGGAATCATTCTCTTCAACTGTTTAGGAAGCACCGCCGTAGGTTCTCCATCTGATGAGGCAGACCTTGCCCTTGCTAGTGTGAAATTTAAAGACTTCTGCACTTGTATTCATCTTTTTTTCTGATTGTCAGAAGTTTCTGCAATGACTTTGTAACTTCCTGGCCTTTTGGGAAAATATCATAGTGATTAAGGACCTGGCATACTTTCCTTATATCGACTGGGTGGGATATAAACAGAAACTTTTCCCTCTGCATTAGCCCACTGAGCTGCCGATACAGAGAACAAACACCACAGCAGTCCTGCCCTTTTGTGAAATGGGAGAGGGCTGAAGCATGGGTTCATCACATGTATTTGGTTTTAAATACTGGTATATAACCACACACACACAAACCTTCTTATCTCAAAATAGAATGTATATTTGGCAAAGGACTGCTGCGGTTTAATGCTTCTTCCACTACTCATCATTTAAATCGGTACATTGAATTTGAATAAGGTATATTGAATTACCCACTGGCCCCAGAATCAAAGTAAAAACAATCTGTAACAAGTGTTTCTCATGCCAGATAAACCTTGGCACCAGGATCCTCCCCCAAGTCAGAGCCCAGACTTACACAGAAGCCCCAGGGCTGCCAGGCCGGTCAATAGCACCAAGCACAAAGTCACCAAGGTCAGGGCCGCTGGTCTCCAAGCTGAAGAAGGAGCCTGGTGCTCTGCAGGAAAGAAGAGAGATTAGGGTTTTGCTTTTCCTTTCTCTTGGATCTAAGTCTGCAGCAAGCGAGAGGAGCTGGTTCTGGACAAGAACAAACCACGCAGGGCAGGGGCGAGCAGTGGGAGCCAGTTTCCCGTCTGCCATAGGCTCAATGCCAAGCCTTCCTCATAGCTAGATTCTTCCTTAAACCACCCCTTTCTATTATCCCCCAAGTCCAAGTTTGCTCTGGATCAAGTTACACATTATCATTATCTTTATATCATTGCTGGCATAACCTTGTTTTTGTCAAAATTAGAGTGAAGGAAGTCTCTCTTAAAAATGCCTGAAACAAGGCTTGGGAATCCCTGAACCTTACTAAGGAAAAAAAAAAAAATCACATTATCAGGAAACAGAATTACTTTGCTGCTACTTTTACAAAAAGTCCCCCCAAGATCCACGTATCTTTCTGCCAAAAAAACCCATTGCATATCAATAACGGGAAAAAAATCGTTTTACTGTTTCTCTTTGGAGTTTCTCTGTTGAAAGGCCCTTTTTGTGAGGATGATGTTTTCCCATTCATTTGATTTATTTCTCTGCAAAAATGGACTTCACAGAAATGTGGTCATCGATTTCTCAAGGATGTAGCTAAGCTACCTCAATTTCTGCACTAGTTAAATAAGAAAAGTGCTGTGGCCGGCATCCTTCCCTTGCCGAAACCTCCACAGATCTGCCCGGGTGGTGCTTGAAGAAGCTCCACTCTGAGTCACCTGTCTGAGTGTTCGTGACCTCAGTGAAATGTCTGACAGAAGGCCCCCAACCAGGTGCAGGTAGCATCTAGCACTCTGATTAAAATGACACAAAGGGGGAGTGAAATCTTGGGGTAAAACTCTGCTCTCCCGGTGACCTGTGAGCTCCACTTCACTGTGAGTTCAAGTCCGCTGCCAAAACAGAAAGATTAAAGAGGCATAAGTTCCATGAGACTCTTTCTAATCTGGATCCCGTCGAGCTTTTTCACCATTTCCGAACCATTCTTCTCTCACACAAACGCCCCGCTTACGGTGGCTTTCTGTTTTGTCCTCGATCCAGACAAGCTTGTCCCTATCTCAGTCCCTTCGCGTTAGCGCTGCCTCTGTATGAATGAACTCTCACAGCAATTATTGGCAGCCTACTTCCGGTTACTCAGCTTTGGTTTTAAATGGCACCTGACTGGAAGAGGCCGTGAGTCCATCCCTAGCACAGCCCCCTCTTATGTGTGTGTGTGTGGGGGGGTTGTTAATATTAGGTAATATTTTCACGACTTTCATTTGTCTGTCTCTTCGTAGTGGACACGCCTGCCTTGTTCCCCAGTGTGTTTCCAGCGCTATAAATAGTGCCTGATACATAAGGGATGAATAAATATTTGAATGAGTAAATGGACGAAGAATTAAATTATGAAAGATTAACATTTCCTAAACTACGTACGTTTTAAAGAGACACAGAGAGTTAATCTAAAACAAAACTTAACAGGTTTTTTACAAAATCTATTGACTTTTCAGTAGTATTCTGCCAGCAGAGGGCAGACTCAGCTAAATGCATTTCCCAGCCACATTGGCTTCTATATGCTGACTGTGTTAGAGTTTGTTTCATGAACACATCTGAAGGAGATTTGCTTTCTCCCCTGTTTCCTTCAATTAGCTATCTGGTTTAGTCCAAACTTTCCTGGAAGTGGATGCTTTCTCATGTACTGGCCCTAAGAGTATCTCACATCAGCAGACTCTGAAAGAACGAGAGCAGAGGCAGAAAGTAGCCTACGCTAAGCATTTTCTCCAAAACCCTAAGCCTTTTCAAAGTTCTGTATTGCCCAAGATAATTACCATGTGTATGCGTCTACATTCCTGAGGGACGCCATTTATGTGAACCCGCCATCTGCGGTGGCTTTATTTTTCTCCGTTGCTCTCATTACCATCAACTATATATCTTTCTTGTTCTTTTGGCTTGTATCTGCAGGTAAACTCCTTCTTGAAAAAGATCGTGTGTTTATATAGTCACCAGTGCTTAGGAGTTACGGCTGCTAACCAAGAAGATTAGTGGTTCGAGTCCACCTGCCTCTCCTTGAAAACCCTATGGGGCAGTTCTACTCTGTCCTAGAGGGTCGCTATGAGTCAGAATCCACTCTACAGCAATGGGTTTTGGGTTTTTGGTAACCCAGAGCCTAAAACAGTGCTTGAAATATAAAAGGAGCTCAGTACATGTTGAAAGAAGGAGTGAATATGTCTATTACATATAAATATCTCTGTGACATGACTGTCTGGGAGTCCCTCCGTGCTGCAAACAATTAATGTGCTTGGCTGCTAACCAGAAGATTGGCAGTTCAAGTCCAACCACAGATGTCTTGAAAGAAAGGCCTGGCAATCTACTTCTGAAAAATCAGCCATTGAACCCTAAGGAGCACAGGTCTACTCTGACATACATAAGATTGCCATGAGTCAGAATCAACTCCACAGCAACTGAGACTGGTATTGGTACCTCTGCTCAAACTTATTTATATTAATACACATCTCAAAGGCATAAAAAGTAAAGAACCCTGTCTCTTTTATGTAATTATTCCCCTGGCCAAAATTAGAAAAGATAAAAAGAAGGTAAAGGAGAAAAAGAAGAACCATGGATGTCAACCCAGGTATCCATCCCTAAGAAAGTGCTTTTCCTTGCATAATCAAAGAGGCGAGGAAATTTTATGCCCAAAGGATACAAAAGAGTGAATTAAATTTTTACTGTCAAGTGAGCCCTGAACTTTGAGGAATTAGAACATCGTTCACGAATAACTTTATCCACGAAAAGAACAAATACATGGCTCCTCCCTGGGGTTGCCTCTAGGACAGAAAAAGAAAGAACTCTCGTTTGCCTCCTGCTAATGGATTAAATGGTTTCAAATTTCCTTCCCAGAATCATTTTTTCCTGGTTGAATTTGGAGATTTTTCTACTCTGGCTCTGGGTGCTTCCCCTCCCCGCACTGAACGCCATCTCGTTGCATCTGAAGACCCCTGCCAACACCACCCCAGAGAGTTTCTGTGGCGGGTGTGGTCGTTTCCTAGGCAACCACGCTTCCGTGAGGCAAGGACTATGAGGTTGAAAGTTTCTCTTCTTCTCTCTCTTTGATGGTATTTCCCGCTCTAGGTGTTTTTCTCCTAACTCTGGGTTTAATGTTCTTGAGTTTTTTTCCAAATGCCCTTGATCGTAATGAGGAGTTTCTCTAGGGACAACCACACCCTAGAACAAGACGGATCTTCCCAAAAATAAGCTGCGTAGGAGGTGCTTCGGGTTGCCTAGCTTTATCGTGGTTTTATTTTTTGGAAGAGAACCCCTTTGCTGTCTCCAGAGGCATATTTAGCAAAGAGGTGTGGACAGGCCTAGGAACGGTATAAACATTTCTAGAAGTAATAAGATACATATAGAAAACAAACATCGCTTTCCTGTATCCTTACTTTAACTACACTATAAACGGTTATACCGCCAGAGTCAAATATCTACAAATTCCTTTGTAGATATATGAAATCTGTAGATGAAAAGAGATGTCATATTTAAGCAATTACTCTTCATGAGGCATCAGAGGGGGAAAAGTTTGCAGTCTTGTATGCCTAGGGAGGAAGCCCTGGTAGTGTAGTGGTTAAGTGCTACGGCTGCTAACCAAAAGGTTGGCAGTTCAAATCTACCAGGTACTCCTTGGAAACTCCGTGGTGCGGTTCTACTCTGTCCTATAGGGTCGCTATGAGTTGGAGCCAAATCAACTGCAACGGGTTTGGTTTGTTTTTTTTTGTTTTTTTTTGCCTAGGGATGGAGCCCTGGTGGTGGAGTGGTTAAGAGCTCGGCTGCTAATCAAAAGGTCAGCAGTTCATATCTACCAGCCACAGCTTGGAAACCCTATGGGGAAGTACTACTCTGTCCTATAGAATCCCTATGAGTCGGAATCAACTCGACAGCAATGGGTTTGGGGTTTTTTAAGCCCAGGGACTAGAAGATGTGAAACAGAGATTATCTAAATAGTCTCTTAGTATGGTCTGAAATACGAAGGGTCTTAAAGCTGGAAAAGACACAGAGAGTTTCAACAATTTGCGCAAAGCCACATTGCAAGCTAGTGGCAGAGCCAGGGTTCGATTGTCATGCTTCTATTCCTGTGTTTAACACCACGCTTCATACACTTCCCTATGAATCAGGATTCACAGAGCCAACAACAACAACAAAAAAAAAACCATTGCCGTTGAGTCAGTGCCGACTCGCAGTGACCCTAGTAGAGGCTAAACTGTTTGCAAGGTGTATACTTCAGGAAATGATGGCCTGATCCTTTTAGATTGCTGGATTGTTAACACTTTTCAATCATGGGGCATCGCTAGTCCATATCTGACTGATATTTTTATTTTCAAATATTTTCTCTTTAGAAACTTCTCATTGTCTCTGAAATCCTCGCATATAGCAAGAGTACATCTGTTCATAGGAGGCCATTCAAGGTTCAGTGGGCTTGACGGTGCTTTTCTGTGTTCATGAAAATCCAGGTTTCCTTTTTCTTATGAGTGTAGTCCAAATGTTCTGTATTTTCATTCTTTCTAAAAGTAAATGGCTGTTATCTCCCCATTCTCTCAAGATATGCATGTAAGAACATAGGAGCTCTTCCCAGAATATCAGTGACTTTCCAACTCACAGAAATAAGAGGCTTCATTATAGTTTTCTATTTGTGTAAAATTTAAGTTAGTCAATTTTATAATCCAATTAAGCGGTTTTATTTCTGAGATATAGTTCAGAAATAAAACTATTGTTAATAACTGATAACATTCCTTGAGTTTCTGAGCTAAATGCCCTATATAAATTATCTCATCTATCTTCATAAACATCCTATGAGGTAGATAGTATTATTACCCCCATCTTACAGTTGGAGAATTGAGTCTTAGAGGGCTTAGATACTTTATGCAAGAGCACACAGATACTGCTAAAAATACTGAGTGTGTTATATATGCCGTAGTATTTCATTTGAGTCTCCTAAAAATCATCCAA